ACACACACACACACACACACACACACATGCATGCACACACACACACTCTCTCTCACACACTCTCTCTCACACACACTCTCTCACACACACACTAACTCTCACTCACACTCTCACACACACACACACACACACACACACACACACAGATAGAGCAGGTCACANTGAGGCCTTAGTTTTGGTTTCAAATTACAGAACATCATGTATGTGTTGCTTCTTTGGGGCTTGTTTTCATAGACCTGGTTGCTTATTTCTCTCAAATCTGGCAACAGAGTGGGCAGGGCGCAGTGTCTAATTGTAGCAGTAAGCTAACGAGTACTGATAAGCTTTATTTTGTTTTGATCCAATGCTGCACAACTGAACTGATCCAATGCTAATGTGAAAAAAAGAAGCTATATCCATGTTGGATAGAATATCCAATTTAAATAAAAAAATAACCTTAAGGGAAAACTTGAATGCTTTTTTTCTTTTTTTTCTCTAAATGCATTGCATAAAGATCGGATCGGGAAAAATCGGTATCGGCAAATTGTCAAAATCAAATGATCGGAATCGGATCGGGAGCAAAAGGTGATCGGGACATCCCGTATGTCAACAGTTGACAATGACCTGTCAGATTAGGTGTTTATTTCTTTAAGATGGCACTTAATGTTTGACACCGTAAATGTTTTATGTCCCCTACATTTGAACGAGATCTCCAAAGTGTACTTAAAATATATATAGATAATATATAAATAGTGTTGTTGGATATTTGCAGTTGTAAACTTGGTCCTCTACGTCCTTGGTCGATTGTGTTTGGCCATGTTATCGATTCATTCAGTGAAAAACATGTCTGCAGCTTACAAGGTCATTAAATGCAGTAATTCACTTACAATGATCTAATAAGGAAAAACAGGCTTGAATTCCTCAGATGAGTCATTCAGGCAAGAGATGAATGGAAGTTTTTCTGTCTGTCTTTATCAGCCACAAATACGCTAACATTCACACATGTTATGCTAGTAGTAGTAGAAGCAAAAACACTAGAATTTGGAAAGTGTGTGTTGCAGCTTCATATCGCTGCAAATTGGCGTCACAAGTCACAGATTGTAAAATGAGGTTCCTCAACACTCATACTGCCAAAACGATGCCCTAGTGTCTTCATTAATGATGCTCAATGGCCAACAGTTAAAAAACTGTGAAAATGTTAGGCAGCTACCCAAAAACAAATATGTGTAATGACATGAATGTTAATGTAGGTGTTGCAGCTAACAAATATTCCTACTATCAAACCCCAGAACTGTTGGGGTTAAATATCAGCTCCCTGGTCACTAACACAATGTGTTCAAATTCTACAGTTATATCACATTTCTGTGCACTGCATAAAACGTATTAATGGTCCAAGAATATTGATCAGGAATACTCTGGTTTTACCATCAGATATATTGTAGTAACTAGCACGGCACTCAGCAGGTGTTGTCGCTGCCAAATGCTACTGCTAAGCTAATTATTTCAACATGGATTTTGTCCCCCAGCCTCACAGGCATGTGAGCACAGCAAACTCCAATCTCTGAACAATAACAAGCAATCGTTGTCATTTGAGATGTGGTTAACACTTCTCTTGCGCTGTGGGATCTGGAGACGACTTTGAGAGCAATTCAAAAAAGCACAATTACATTTGAAGACTTGTGAATAAATCAGGTGAAGCAGCAACAAGTATAATATTAACAAGTTTAACACATTGGCAGATGGATGAAGGTGGGTCACAGTGGGCGGGACTAACATTAAAATGTGCAATCTCTACACCATTTATCCAAATTTGACTTCTTTCCTCCCCCTAAAATGTGGTGGCCTTCTATTTCAGACCAGTTTTCACCTCCCTGATGGTGTTTGACCTTTGCTGAAAATGTTGGAACCCCCATTATTGTTTTCCTTGATCCTCTTGGGAGAAACTGACACATTTCTTCCAGCCTGAAGACCTCTTGTATTTATTGTCCATCACCCATATCGATGTTGTTCACTTCCTCGAACTGCTGACAGCTGTTGTTTACAATATGCTGATGCATTTGTGACCTCTTCCCTCATGAACCTTTCTTCAATGAGTTGCTCTTTGGGGGTATCTTGTTCTGGTACGACACATCCATGCTGAGCTCTTCCCTGAACATTTTATCAAAGCCTTTACACATTTTGACTCCTTTTAGTTCAAGACAAGGCTTATTCTTTATCCCAAAAACCCTGATGAACGGATTCAGGTGCTTTCTGCTTCAAGCATTTCTTTGAGCTCCTGAACGTCTTGTTGAAGGTCTTCCAATGTTGGCACATTGCCTCTTGATCTGACTACACTCTGGTTTGGTGACCATGTCGGTCTCAGTTTGTTCTCATGGTCTCCATCTAATTCAAATGCTAGAATGTGTGTGGCTTAAAGGGGACCTATCATGCAAAATGCACTTTTGTATGTCTTTTATACATGAATATGTGTCCCCGGTGTGTCAGGGAACTCACCAAGTGTCAGAAAACAGAACCCTCTCTCTTTTCCTCCATACCCAAATCTCTAAAAACGGGGCTGCAACAGAGCTGATTATTATTTGAATTTTTCTGACGTCAGAAAAGGGGTGCTCCGCCTATATGGGCAACTCTCCACCTATCAGAAGTACAGACCGCTCAAAGGCGCTGGAGACGCTGTAGTACATATGCCAGGCCTGTACGTGGCGCTGTAGTTTACCACAAAAGCAGAATCAGCCCTTGCAAAAACAGGGCTGGAAAAGAGTAAATGAGGCATGGCTAAAATGCATGATCTGTTAAAACTTCACAGACATGTTTTATATAGGTATGGCCCTACAATATATGTTTCAAATATAGCATGATAGGTCCACTTTAAGGAAACTGTTTCTCCTGTGCTACTCTCCAGTGTGGTATCACTTCACACAACAAGCTCCATCTAATGTAGACTAGGTGTCGACCGATATTCCGCATTTCATGGAGCCTCGCAGTTTTTCAGGTTGATATGTGAAGCTCATTATCTAGCAAATGTTTAGCAAAATATTAGAAGTAAGGCTACTAGACTAACGTTAGGTCTACTGTAATAGTCTCACTTTTAATAGTTTGCAAAAACGTTAGCTAGCACTAGTGTTTTGCAGTTGCTAGCAGCTTATTGGGATTTTATGCTAGATAGACAGGCATTGTTTTTGATATAATGAATTAAGCATTATTGTTAGTTAAGCATGTCAGCCTGCAGCCCCACTTCTTGTCTCTCTCTAACTCATTGCAGATGGCTGCACTAAAAAAAAGGGCACAGAGAGGAAACCAGTTGTAAGATGTTTAAAAGTTCATTAAACATAATATATATGCTTAAATGCATTTTAAAGAAGTTGTGTTGGAGTTTGTGTTATTCTACATTTTGACACCAAGATTTTCTGCTTTTATTGCAAATGTACAGGACTGTCTCAGAAAATTAGAATATTGTGATAAAGTTCTTTATTTTCTGTAATGCAATTAAAAAAACAAAAATGTCATACATTCTGGATTCATTACAAATCAACTGAAATATTGCAAGCCTTTTATTATTTTAATATTGCTGATTATGGCATACAGCTTAAGAAAACTCAAAAATCCTATCTCAAAAAATTAGAATAGTTCCTCAGACCAAGTAAAAAAAAAGATTTATAACAGCAAAACACAATCAAACATTTGAAAATGTCCATTAATGCACTCAGTACTTGGTTGGGAATCCTTTTTGCACGGATTACTGCATCAATGCGGCGTGGCATGGAGGCAATCAGCCTGTGGCATTGCTGAGGTGTTATGGATGCCCAGGATGCTTCAATAGCGGCCTTTAGCTCATTAGCATTGTTGGGTCTGGTGTCTTTCAGCTTCTTCTTCACAATACCCCACATATTCTCTATGGGGTTCAGGTCAGGGGAATTTGCAGGCCAATCGAGGACAGTAATGCCATGGTCAGTACACCAGTTACTGGTGGTTTTGGCACTGTGGGCAGGTGCCAGATCATGCTGGAAAATGAATTCCTCATCTCCATAGAGCTTTTCAGCAGACGGAAGCATGTAG